ATATCCGTATACATACATATGTCTCTATATACATGAATATATGAGTGTGTGTGTGCATATACACATTCCTTTTGTAATTCCTGCCAACTCTCTAGCTTCAACTTTCACCTCTATTAGCGTACGGTGTATAATATGAGATGGAATAACACGTAGTAGTATTGGAGATAGAGGCAGAGAGACAATAAGTGTTAGAGGATCAGAGTTAGAGTCTCAGCTTTAATAATTACTGGCCATGTGCTTATGGCAAGTCACTGATCTCTGAGCCTCAATTTCCTGATTTGTAAAAAAAAAAGGGGGGGGTGGTAATATCTCTACTACCAACCCTAACAGGATGGTTATGATTGAATGAGATAATACATTTAGAGAGAGTTCTTTGAAAACCTTAAAGTGCTGTATAGAATACGAGCTATTATTGTATTGTGGAGGTAGAATCATCAGGCCTCGATAATTGATTTAATATTCCCTTTTTCTCTTCTTGATCTTTAGATGTCACCATGGTAACATGATAGATTGAGTGACTCCTTTAAAGAATCCCAAGCCTTTATTTCCATGCCTAACCTCTCTCTTGAACCCTAAACCCATATCTCAAACTGTCTAGGTACCCAAACACCCAAGAATGTGCTGGATCCAGCTTAAAATGGCTTTTGAGGGTTCATGGTTAAATTTTCAGGGGGAGCATTTACACATCAGGAAAGATGTTGTTGTTTGGAGGAGAGGAGGAGAGAGGAAGAGAAGGGAAGGGAGGAAGCTGTGTTGCCCAACTCTAACTGGCCTCTAGGAATAAGTAAATGCTACAAATCAGGGCTTGATTTGTACTTTTTTTGATTGTCTAGAATTTAGGGAAGTGATGGAGAAATGTTAATGATGCAGATTAAACTTAAAACTGTCATACATATTTTTCCAGAGAAAATAAAACAAATAATAAATAAATTTCAAAAATTTATCAGCACATTGCTACCTCCACCTAAATGGACAGTGGAATCTCACTTATATCATGTGGTATAGTCAAAAGAGATTCGGAGGGCCTGGATACAAATTCCAGCTCTTATGTTATGGTAAGTCATTTTGGTAAATCACCTGGCCTCCCTGGGTCTCAGTTTCCTCATTTGTAAAATAAGGAGGGTTGGACGAGAGGCCTCTGAAGCATCTTCTAGCTCTAGACTGCTAAATCTTTGTTACTGTGATTATGAATGAATGAATGAATGAATGAATGAATGAATGTGTGCATTAATAATAAATGCTTACTCTATACAAAGTACCGTGCTAAGCAGTGAGATACAAAGAAAGAAGAGGCCCCTGTTCAAAGAAGCCCCTGTTCAAATGGAGAAGAGAATATGTATGGAAAGTTTCAGCTACTAGTTAGGTAGAAAAGTCTTACAGGTCCTTAGGGTGCAGTGGTAAGGCAGATGTCTTTTTTTTAATGTCATTTTGTCATTTAATGACATTTTTAATGTCATTTCCATTGCTCAAATCATATCAGTTTCCAATCTTGAGTCATATGACAACGCCAAAAACTCTAGCAGAGAGAATTTTCTCTTCTGAGTCTTCAGCACCTGTGGCTGCAGGACCTATACCTCCCCAGGAAAACAATATATACCATGACTGCATCAATGTAAGGAAACAAAATAACAATATAACAAACAAAATGACAAAATAACTACAAAATAATCAAACCTAAATGCTGGGAAAATATAAAGAACAAACTTGGCCACCAAAAGAAATATGAGAAGACCCTTCTCCTGTTTTGCAAAGGCCAATGGTTGTTAAATATTACACATAACATTAGGTTTTTTTTTCAATGTGTTAATAGGTTTTGTCGATTTTTTTTTCCTTTCCTCTAAAAAAAAAAATCTCCATTGTAAGACATGCCACTCAGGGCAGGGAATAAGAGAATACAGAGGGAAATCTAGGCAATGTAAAAAATATATTTTGAATAAATATGGGTTGTTGTTTTGTTTTGTTTTGTTTTGTTTTTCACATGAGAGATGAGGACAGTAAAGTGTTAACAGGACTAGAGATGAGAATAGTGAAGTCAGAGCAGTGGTGATAGCCAAAGAAAACACTAAGGGGCTGAGGTACTCAAGATTTTATTGAAGGCAAAAACAGGTTTAGCATAGGGGATTAGACTTGCTCTGATTACCACTCTCTCTCCCTTTAGTCAGAAGTCAGAACCAACCAAAAGTAGCAAAGGAAATTGCTGAGAGAGATTTTAGTTTACTATAAATAAAAATAACCAATCATTAGAGCTATACAAAGGAGAATGGACTGCCTTGCAAAGCAGTAGTATCCATCCCACCCTCCCCCCATTGAAAGTGTTCAAGTGAATTCTGAATGACCACTTGTCACTTCCATCTGACAGGGGCTTCTTGGTCAGATACAGGTTGGCCTGGAGGGTCTCCTTCTTCCCTTCTGACTCTGAGATTCAGTGCTGCTTCCAGTTGGAGAAGGGACCAAGAGAAATAACTATGGAGCTACACAGCTTCCTGTTAGACATAGGACTAGTAAGGTAATAAAAAAGAGCATAACATTCCCCTAACCCAAACTAGTATATACTAAGAACTGAGAATGAAACATTTATTAACAAAGCAAAGTGTTCAAGATCTAGAACAGGGTTTTTTGTTTGCTTGTTTTGTTTTTGTTTTGGCAAGGCAATTGGGCTTAAGTGACTTGCCCACAGTCACTTACTGCTAGTAAGTATTACGGTTTGAGGTCGGATTTGAACTCAGGTTCTCCGGACTCTAGGGCTGGTGCTTTATCCACTGCGTCACCTAGCTGCCCCAAGACCAGGGGTTATTAATCAGGTTTCTGTGACCTTGTTTAAAAAAAAAATTACAACATCACTAATGTGAAAATAAGTTTAATAGGAATGTATATGTATAGCCTCTATCAGATTGTGCACCATCTTGGGGAGTGTGGTGGGGAGGAAGGGGGAGAAAAATTTTAAACTCAAAAGCATATGGAAGTGATTGTTGATAAATCAAAATAAATTAATAAAAATTAAAAACTAAAAAACTCTATTTCAATGTAATTGGTTTCCTTTGTAATCCTACGTATTTTATTTTATGTATTTAAAAACTTTCTTGTCTGGGTTCCTTTAAGTCCCAACTAAATGTTATTCCAGTGCTTTCCCTCTTTTAATTATTCCTATCTATCCTACTGTATATAGCTTGTTTTGTATATATTTGATTGCATGTTGTCTCCCCCATTAGATTGTAAGCTTCTTGAGAGCAAAAACTGTCTTTTGCCACTTTTTGTGTCTCAAAGCTAAGCACAGTGCCCAGCACTTAGTAGGTGTTTAATAAATGTTTATAGATTGATTGACTTATTGATTGATTGATTTTTCTGAGAAGGGGTTCATAGGCCTCACCAGACAGTCAAAGGGAACCTAAAAAATGTTAAGAACCCCAATCTAGGCCTTCAAAATAGTAAGTCCTGTTTGTTAGAACTTTACAGGAATTGTCTCATCTGACCTATGCAACAAATCCATAAGGGTTACAACTAAGTATAAACATTAATGATAAATTCTTTTAATTGGAAATAATTAACTTATGTTCTGTACTAGAGAACTAAATCTTCAGGGAAATTGGCAAGCTAAAACTAAAAAGACTTAGAACTACTCTAAACTTTTCAATCACAAACAATCCGTGGGTCCTCAAAGCACTCTGCAGGTGCATGCTGAATCAGGCACCGTCATTCACAAAAACATCCAGAGAATGTTGGTTCCTTCTGACTTTGTTAAGTATACATCAAGGAGGTCTTACATCAGAGAGGGACTAGGAGGAAGTTTGTGTCTTATTTTCTCAGGTTAATTGTTAGGTCAATACTCTGAACAAGTTAGACGTCTTTCACTTCCCCAACCAGTCCTCCTTCCAAACAAACATTAATGAAATACATTATTTATATATACCAGCCTGTAAAAAGTTAGGTTGTAAAATCAGGTGCCCTTTATCTGTTTTAGTGATACAGAAATTTTTACATTCTCTCTGGTCTAGTGGCTCTCCACTAACAATAACGATGCCTTACATTTGTTTAGTACCTTATGGTTTGCAACGTGCCTTCAGGTACACAAGAATAATTCCTAGAAAGGAAAGTCCCCCACCCAATGCAGTTCAGAAATGATGCTGTAATTTAACTTCTTAGAAAGTTTTCTTAAGACACTGAGAGATTAAGTGATTTGCCAAGGGTCACACAGCCAGTATATTATATTAGAGCCAGGACTAGAACCCAACTCTTTCTGATTCCCAAGCTAGCTTTCTATTCACTACATCACACTGTCCACCATCACCGTATTTTTCTGCATGGATTGGGCTAGATGGACACTGAGGTCACTTCCAGCTCTCCAATTCTATGAATCTGATTCTGTGATCTTTATCATAATCATCATGTCACCTGAAATTACCCTCCAAAAAGATATTCTTATGGCACCCAGACTTTGCACTGATGCAGATTTTGCAAGGAAACAGTAGAAACAGAGATATGTTGTTTCAGTTTGCAGAATTTCACACTTGCTGAATTCCTACAAAGACACAAGCAGGTAGCCAGAATCATTCACCGTTAGGTCATTATCCTTGGTAAACTAACAAAAAAGCAAATCTTTGTAGTACAAAAAGACCCCAAACTATGCTTGAGAATTCAACAGACTGTACTGAAATCTAGGGCATTATCACAGGCAAAATAGTTGCCCACTAATCTCCTGACCCTAACATAGATGCATAAAAATTTTCGAACAGTAGATGTCACTATATCAAATACTCAGAATCTCCAAACTAGGGGTAGAATGAAAAGCCTTCAAAAATGTAGAGATCCAATAGAAGTAATCAAAACCATATGCAAATGGGGATTAGGTACATATTATCTAGGCTGATCCCAAACATGCTTTCAGTGAGTCTACAAAAGATGAGCTTGCATCTCAATACTTTTTTTTTATTACAAGAAGCAGACCTGTGCAGATATATATGCATATACAATATATACATACATATACATATATGTGTCTATACCTGTGCAATTGTCCACCATACACTAAATATAAAAGATTAATAACAGGACAGTGATACATCCCAGGACTGCTTCTATCTGAAAAGATAAAAACAAAATAATTGTCATGTTAATGCTAATAATAAACATCGTTATTTAGCATTTTTAATTTTATAAAGTGTTTTACCTACAACCCTGTAAAGCTAGATAGGGTATCACTGGGTTTGCCCAAATTGTTCTCTGGTCACACTACCTGTGTTTGTTATCTCCCCCATTAAAATTTCAGCTCTTTCAAAACTGAGACTGTCTTTGCTTTTCTAATTGCAACTGATGTAGAGCAATATGAATAAAACCAGGAAAACAATTTACATAATGACTATAATATTGTAAAGAAAAGCAATTTTAAAAGACTTAAGAACTCTGATCAATGACCAATCATGATCCTAGAAGACTTGATGATGAAACATGTTTCCTCCCTCTTAGGAGAAAGGTCGTGCACCAGACGTGCAAAATAAAACATACACTTCCAGACATAGCCAATTTATGAATTTGCCCTGTGTGACTATGCTTATTTGTTATAAAGGAGGGCTTTGGGGGGAGGAAGAGAGGTCATATAACAAAAATGACACCAAAAAGAAGAAAAGGAAGTCAATGCAACTTTTTTAAATTACACAGAAGAGTACAGAAGAAAATTCAGAGAGTGACAAGCATGACAGCTTAGGAACTAATGTGTTGAATGAATTATATACTCTAAAAAAACGATCAACGATCAACTATCAACAGAAATTTGCAATTTCGTATACAATCCTCTTTTCTGTTCTTTGTATGTGGAAATGCTAATGTTTACTGATGTTCATCAAATTCAGAATAACAACAAATTAAATGTAAATTGTGGGGGCAAAATCAACTGTACAAAAAGGAGTAGGTAGCATTTGATGGCCTCTGGTGTCACTGCCATCTTTAAATCTATGACCTTATGATCCTATGACTAGATGGTCTCTAATGAAGTCCTACAATCTATTACCTGACTAGCTAACTAGCCTACCAATTCCTCAACCTCCTTAAATCCCATGACTTCCTCATTTACTCAGAAAAAAAGTCACACAGAGGGAAGATCCTACTCTGGGTCTTAATCATTATCCAGAAGTTTTCCATTTTCCTTATTTAAACTCTGACATTCTTCTACCTGACAATAATCTTCTATCTTTCCTATCTGACAATAATTTTCTATCTTTCCATGTCTCCCTATGCTTCCCCTATGCTAAACCTATTTTTTGCCCTCACTAAGACCTCCAATATCTTAACCCCTTAGTATTTTCTCAGGCTATCAGCCCTACTCTAACCTCACTTCTCTCATTTCTAGTCTTCACCCAGTCAACACTTCACTGTCCCCACCTCTCACATTCCTGTTCTGCTCCTACTCACTTGGTGTTGCTAGAGGAGTCACATAACTATGTTGATGGGCCATATTAAATTCATGTAAGTCAGTCATTCAGTCAACTATCATTTATTAAGCACCTATTATATGCCAGGTACTATGCTAAGCGTTGGGGATGCAAAAAACAGCAAAGAAAAAAAAATAGTCCCTGCTATCAAGGAGATCACGGTATAATATAATAATGGGAGAGACAAACAAGATACATGCAGAATGAATTGAAAGTAGTCTCATAGGGAAGGCACTAAGGATTAAAGAGGACTGGAGAAGGCTTCTTGAAAAAAAAAAAAGGCTTTTTGCAGAAAGTAAGACTTTAGCTGAGCCTTGAAGGAAGCCAGGGTTGAGATTATTAGTTTAATATAATCAAAATTATCCATTTTATAACTAACTTTGCTCTCTATCTTTTGTCTAGTCATAAATTGTTCACCTATACATAAGTCTGATAAGTAATATGTTACATGCTCTTCTAATTTTCTTATAATATCTCTAAGTCTAGGTCATGCATCCATTTTGACCTTATCTTAGTAGATGATGTAAGATATTGCAAAGGGAAGAAAAGGGAAAAAAAGAAATTTACATAACTTTATTATATATTTAAAAGGAATAGCAAATTATAAATAATAGATTTGTAGTTTTATGTGCAATCATCTTTTATTATATTATGTTATGGAAATGCTTATTTTATTCCATAACTTAAAAATAAGTATTTTTTTAAAAAGAAATTATTAGTAACATTGGAAAGAACAATATTGGTTGAATGATGAGGTTAGAAGCCCAATTGCAAAGAGTTAGGAAAAGAGTGAAAAGAAAGCAAGTGGAGGCACCTATTATAGACAGCATCCTCAAGGAATGTAGCCACTAAAATGAGGAGAGATATGGGATGATAACTATTGGGGATCCATGGATCAAGTGGAGGGTTTTTGAGGGTGGGGAGGATATAGGCATGTTTGTAGGCTGTAGGGAAGCAGCCAGGAGACAGGGACCAATTAAAGATTCCTTCTTTAGTGACTTCAAACATGCCCAAATTTCCACCATCCTTAAAATACTTTACTACATCATACTATTATCACGAAATATTATCCAATATTTCTCCCCCAATTCTCAGCAAAAAAAGCTGTCTACACATGCTGCCTCCACTTCTTTCCTCTCACTCACTTCTAAATTCTTTGCATTCTAATTTCTGACCTCATCACCCATCTGAAATAGCTCTCTTAAAATTTATGAATGATCTCTTTATTGCCAAACTTGGTTTTATATTCTCAGTCCTCACTTCTCTGGACCTAGCAGCTGTATTTTAAAAATATTCATTTATTTCATAAATGTGTAAAATCCTTCTCTTCCACTGTTCCACTGTCCCAACATGTTTCACCTGTTGCCTAAATTATTGCAAAGACCTCCTAATCGTTCTCCCAGCTACAAGTCTCTCACCACCTCAATCCATCCTTCACACTGGCACCAAAGAGTCACCAAGTTTTCCTAAAGTGCAAACATGAAGATGACACGCTATCATCCAATAAATTCTAGTGGTGCCATTTAATCAAATATAAACACTTCTGCTTAGTTTTTAAAGCCTTTTACAACCTGGTCCTAACCCTTCTTCCTTGCCCAAATGTACATTATTCTTTTACCTGCTCTCTGAAGACAAGCTGGCTTTCTCTCTGTTCCTCACATATAACACTCCATATCCTATCCCCATGCCTTTGCCCTAGCTCTCCCCCAGGTCAGGAATATATTCCTCTGCCTCAGAGACAGGAATCTCTTCTTTAAAGACTCCCCTCAGGTACTATCTTCTACACAAAGTTTCTCATTATTTCCTCAACAGCTAATGTCTTCCTCTCAAACTACCATTTATTTAACTGCTTTATGTTTAATTGCATTTATTCTCTTTACATTTATTCTGCATATAAAGTTATTTCACATATGTTTAAAATGTTATGCTTATATGTATAATATAGTACATATATATAGCATGTATATGTATGTATGTCCTTGTCCCCCTACTAGAATATAATATCTTTGCAAGAAGGAATAATTTCATTTTTTTATACTTACATGCCCTGTGTCTAGCATAGTGCCTGTCACATAGCAGGCTCTTAATATATATTTATTGATTGATCACTTGGTGAAAAGGAGCTCTTTAAAAAGTCAATTTGTATCTATCTATGTGTATTGTTTTGTAATCTTGTTCCATATAGTATTTCTACATTTACACCTAGCAAATAGTTAGTTTATATTTTAAGGGAAAGCACAGCAAAGTAGAGGTCAAGTGACCTGGGTTTATTATTTAAAAAACAATATTAGTTGAATTGACTTTAAGAATTTGTCCACTGGGTCCATGAGACCCATTAGTAGGCCACACTAATCATCTGGTAGAAGCCATCAGAATGTCAGAGAGAGTGCCTAAAATTTTAAAAATTATATCTATACTCTATAGAGGAACATTCACATTTCTAAACAGTGAGCCACATAATCAGAAATACATTTGTGTCCAGACTAAAAAAAAATCCTTATGTAATTAATCGCGTTCATCCTCAATTACAATTACTAAAGGATCCAAGTTTGCTAGCTTGATACCTGGTAGCAAATAGTAAGTTACACAATAGTAGTTGCAGGCAGGTTGACCAGACCCACAGTCTTTCTAATTCATATGTGGTAGCTAATGAATTTAAAAATTGCTGAAAAAAACCTCAGGAAGGCTGCCCTCTTGGGGTCAAATAGGTCACATTTGGACCACAGGTCATGTGCTGTACATTTGTGTTCTGTAGAGTGCTTTGCAAAGCCATAACTGTAAGGTGGCATGAATGGACCCACTGGTCTCAAGGATTTGACCTGAGATGGGAAAGCCAAATTACCTTAACCTAGACCCTTTCCCAGGAATAGTGTGGTATGGCAGAAAGAGCACAGGAATGAGTCAGGAGACCTAACTTCTAATCTAAACTCTTCCACTAACTTGTCAATACTGAGCAAATCACTTAGCCTCTTTCAGCCTCTCCTTTCTCACCTCATGAGAGGATAGAAGAAATGATGATGATGATGATGATGATGATGATGATGATGATGATGATGATGGTGATGGTGATAATGATGATGATAACTATGACAATTGGGGCTGCCAGCATCTACTCCTCGTGCCTTTTTCATTCCATCTATGAGGATGAGGACCTCAGGACTGGGATAACAGACATCCTTCCCAAATAACCCTCCTGGCAGCTGTTGAGATGATACTTCTTCTATCCTCTGTCACTACATCAACCAATCGATTCATGAATATTTATCATGCACCTTCTATTAAGGGAAGAAAAAATTATAGTAGTGGTTAGGAAGTTTGTGTGATGAAAAAAGGTCAATGATCTATCAACCAACCACCAAGTATCTTGTAAGTGCCTACTATATGCTACTTAGAGGCAGTATGCACAACAGGCAGGGAGTCAAGAAGACCTGGGTTCAGTTCTCACCTCTGACATATAGTATGTGACTTTGGGTAAGTCATTTAACCTCTCAATGTGCTAGACAACTTTCTGGCACAAAGTCTCAGAGAAGATACCAGTTTGTATTGGTAGACAAGAGCTCCCTATACCAGTGAAATCATTGATCTTAACAAAGTCTTGGAGATCCAAAAGCAAACATTAAACAGTCCCTTCCCTCAAGGAATTTATTAATCTGGGCATTAGGCAAGGCAGCTAGGTGAGGAAGTGGATAGAGCACCGGAGCTGGAGTGAGGAAGACCCGAGTCCAAATCTGACCTCAGACACTTACTAGCTATATGTCCCTGGGCAAGTCACTTAACCTTGTTTGCCTCAGTTTCCTCATCTGTAAAATGAGCTGGAGAAGGAAACGGCAAACTACTCCAGCATCTTTGCCAAGAAAACCCCAAATGGGGTCAGAAGATTCAAACACAAGTGAAAAACAACAATAACAACAACAGGGCAGTCACTCATTCCTTAGTTCCTCTCAATTCAGTTCAACAAGCCAGGCACTGTGCTAGTTAAGATATAAGACCTAAAAATGAAGTATTCTCCACCACCAGGGAGCTTACATTCTACTCCCCATCATAGCCTCGGTGCTGCTGCTGAATGGGTTGAACTGAAGGCCTCTAATGGTTCACTTCATTGCCACGATCTCAGGAGCAGCAATTCCGCTCTTGCCATTATTTCCCCCTCCCCTTACACTTGAGGGTGAAGAAAGGCTGATCAGGGAGCAATTTCCAGGTAGTAACAGCAGAAAGCATGTGCGTCCTTCAAGACTCAGCTCAAGAGCATCCTTCCACATGAAGTCTTTCCTAATTCCTCCAGCAGCTAATGCCCCCCCTCAATATATTACTGTGCATTCATTTTGTATATACCTATAAATACATGCATCATTTTCCCCAATAGAATGTGACCCCCTGAGGGCAGTGACCTTTTTTTTTTTTTGCCTTTCTTTGTATTCCCAGAGCTTAGCACACTGCATAGCACAGAGTAAGTACTTAATAAATGCTTACTAATGGATGGATTGAATGATTCATGTCATCACAATGTTTCTCAAATCCATACCTTCCTTTTAAGTTACCTGGCTAGTCCCTCATGACTTTTCAACTAGACTGTTGCAGTAGCCTCCTGATTGGTCTCATTCTAATCTTTCTCTTTTGCAATCCATCCTCTATACAGATGCCAAAATAATCTTAAAGCACAGATCTGACCAAGTCACTCCTTTGCTCAAAAATCTTCAGCAGCTCCCTATTTACCTCTAGACAAAAATACAAACTACTCAACATGTTTTTAGGCTCTCTACAATCCAACTGGCTCTAATCCACTTTTTCAGTCTTACTTTGAATTATTCTCCCTTCATAAGCACAATAATTTCAGTCTAGGGGTGCTAGGAACCCCAAAATGCAAAGGTACAGGGTGGGAGTCTGCCTCAAAAGAATTCAACCACTCAAGCTTTTTTTTTTTTTTCAGTCAGAGACAAGGTTTATTGTGTTGCCAATAGAAGCAGGACAGATTCTAAGAATCTACTCATTTGGTGAGGATGGGACTGATACTTTTATACAGAAAAAGGACTGTGGGAAGATCTGGATGAGATTAAGGAGTGTGAAGTAAGCTAATTAAGTAATCAAGGTGGGCTGGGGTGGGCCAGATGCCTTGGGTGTAGGCACCAGTGATCTGGGCTACTGAAATGTATGAGAAAATTCAGGGACTGGGTTGCTTTCAAAGATATCATCTTTTCCTTTCATGGGTTCAGATCCCATCCCCATCACAATGATTCAGCCAAATTAGAATTTCATGTAAAGGCAATTCGGTCAAATTGAAAATATATAAACTATCTCAGCTAACAAAAATACTAACCACAGTTCACTAAGACCACATCATAACAAAATTACAAACCAGAACCTTGATAATAAAATACACATTCATACATTTCAGATAGTCTGTAGTATAAAGCATTTTCTCTGCCCTCCAACTAGTCTACCAAGTAACTAGCTGCTCCGTTGTTATTTCATAGAATATGATTTAACACAGTTGAATTATTCAAAGTCAAGGGAGGAGGAACAAATAAGAGCAATTCATAGAATGGTTGTCTCATCCATTCAGAGCTAGAAGGGAAGTCAGAAGCCTTCTAGTCCAACCCCCTCATTTTACCAATGAGGAAGCTAACACAGATGGTGACTTTCCCAAGGTCTTACTGCCATTACTTTGCAACACTAAAATATGAATAGCAGTCCTCTTTGCATTGTAATTACCTATGTTTTCTAGAATAATATTACTCAAAAACTGAATAATAAAAGCTAACAATAGTAACACAGTAAAGATAGATGATCTAAACTGTCCTAGCCACTGAGGGACACCTGAGACAAACAAAAAGGTTTCCCAGAAGAATTTGTGAATTACAAATAGATAGCTAGATAGAAATATGTATGTGTGTTTATATAAAGAGACACAAGTAGAAATATATATGTGTGTTTACATATAGAAATATACAGATAGAAACATGCATATAGCTAGATATAAATATATACATGTGTGTATTTATATAGTGGGACAGATTAGATAGAAATCTATATATAGGTCTATGTAGAGAGATACAGATAGAAATATATACATACATATATATTTATATAGAGAGATAAATATATATATGTGTATTTAGACAGATTAGATAGAATATATACATATGTGCATTTATATAAAGAGATACAGAGAGACAGAGACATATACATATATGTGTGTTTATTTATTGAGAGAGAGACAGACACACATATTCTTACCCCAGCACAATATTCTTTAACTAGGATGTAATTTTGTCTTTATGCCCATGATGTTAAGTTCTTCCTAGGATGCCAAGACTTATTCCTGAGAACATTTAAATGAGTACAAGTCATAGCAGGCACTGAAAAGATAAGAACAAGCATGGATTCTGGCATAGCCTAACTCCTAAAAGCCAGTTTGGTAACTCTGTGAATATTTTATGAATTCATTTGGTAAGCCTGAAGTTTTAGAACACATGCTACATTGTACGAATGAAAGTGTTGCATCCAACAGGTTCCTTTGCCTTTCACAAATTACTCAGGAAAGAAGTATTTACTGGCAGCTCATAGAAGAGCAATGCTATAACCAAGGAGAATAGGTAAACACCACCTGACCTAGCCTTTGCCAAACCTAGAACAACTGTCAACAACTGTCCTTCTCCACCCCCACCCCCAAATGCTCAGAGGGTAAAAATCACATTAAGTTCTGAATGAGTCTTGTACAATACAAGGATTCAAACAAACTACAGATTGAAGTATATGCATGTGAACAAGGATACCTTAACAAATGCATTTAAAATCAACAAAAGTGTTAATACAGAAATATGTTTTCATGACTTCACATATATAATTGATATCCTATTGCTTGAGTGGGGGAGGAGCTAAAGAGAGAAGGGGCTCGAGGGAGGAAAGAATTTGGAACTGAAAAATTTTAATGAATGTTAAAAAATAATAATTTTAGAAATATATACATACACTTGTTAAATTAATAAAAACCAACACAAGTAATGATGAATTGTTCACGTTTTGGACCACTCAAATACTTAGCACTGTCATAAGTCTATTAAGAATTCTGTTCCCCAGATTTCTTTGGCATAAGAGTTCTTAGCCTTTTCTGTTACATGGATCCCTTTGGCAGGATGGTGAAGCCTGCATAGCTCCCCTCAGAATATTTTTTTTTATTCATAGTTGAAAGAGATGCTAAATTTTAGTGAAAAGCTAGTGAAAATAGATATGACCTCCATCCAAGTTCACAGGATTCTCTAAAATCTATCTACCCCAGGTTAAAAACCCCTGCTTTAACAGAATTAGAATCCCTGAAGTTGAAATCATTCTACTTTAACAAGGGTACATTTTGGAGGAATATACCCAATAAATCATACCTAACATAAATTTCTTATTGAAAATTGTTTAGGGGCAGCTAGATGGAAAAGTAGATAGCAGGAAACCTGAGTTCAAATCTGGCCTTAGACACTTGACACTTACTAGCTGTGTGACCCTGGGCAAGTCACTTCACCCCATGCCTCACAAAAAGAAAAAAAGAAAATAGTTTATATATATTAAAAATAATACATTACACTGATTATTTTGGGTGTGTTTTTAGCTCAAACTAAATTATCTGATGTTTCATGTAATTTCTTTAGCTCTAGAAGAAAAAGCATTGCTTCTGGATTCAGAGAAGCAGGGTTCAAAGTCTACTCCTAACACTATTTGAATGGTAGGGAAGTCATTTAATCTCCCTGGACCTCAGTGTCTTCATCTGTAACATGAAAGAGTTAAACCAAATGACCTTTGAGATTACTTCCAGCTACAGCTATGATCCTATGGAAAATATTCACAAATAAGCATGCATAGAAAAAGAAAATAGAAGGGAATTTTACCTTCCCAGGGGCCCCATTGTCATTTGGTATCCATTTATCCAGGGATCTGAGATCAATTAGGACATAAAAGACTCCAGTTCCCATATTCCCTGAAAGAGCTTTGTTGAAAAAGAATGTTTCTCCCCAGATTTCCAGAGTTCTACCCCTCCTTTATTCCTACCAGAAATGTTATTTCTCCCACCAAAAGTTAACCTAGCCTGATTTATTTCTATTAGGCACTACATATTTCTCCTTACCTTGTTTCCTGTGTCACTAGCCAACTCTGCCCAAGAATTTGTAGTTAAGAAGACATTATCTTGTATTTTCTCTGCATATAGGTCATGATTCCTTAAACCAGGTCTATGGCTAATAACCTGAGGGTAGGGATTAAGAGGATTTTACTGAGTCAGTCTCTAACCTGAGAATGACAAAATAGCAGACCAGAGACAAAGTATCAGTAATCAGTTAGCCATTTAATTAATTAGTTTCATTAAGAGGAACAGATTTGCAAATTGTGAATTCTCCTGATCAGAATTCAACCTAGCTGAAGTGAAGACAGAGATTATAATGTATAAATCACAATGAGAAGGGAGGGGGAAAGGTGGATTACAAACAATGGTTTCCAGAGCCAGAGTGGTTTCCCATGACCAGCTCACAAATTCCACAACACTAAGGTAAGGGTGCCCTGAAGTTCCCTGGGAACAGCATTGTTCAAGTCTTTGGCGGTCGTTACTTGGTGGCTCACAGGACCAGAGTTATATGCCAGGAACAGGTTCTACAATCTCTGATTCACTTTACTTCAGGTACACAGGCACAAGGATGCCAGTGAGTTCAAGCCTTGTCAAAGTTTGATCATTCTAAGCTGCATTGTGAGCTCTGACTCACAAGCTAGAAGAGGCAATTCTGAAAAATCGAATCTATTAGTACATCCATTACACATATCACACTGATTATTATAAAAATAATAATTCCACAGGATCACTGAGGCATGAATCCTCTAATCTTAAGGAAGGAGACCAAGTCTAAACAAAAAAACCTGTCCTCTCTTCAAAGGAAACTTTGCATTCTAATCTTTGCATTCTAATCAACTCTTCTTCCCAAGTATTCATTCTGGGGCCTTTCTCTGGCTTCAGTCTGACTCCCATGGAAACAACGGCAAACACATGGAATGCAAGAAGACGTCAACTAGTTCATTTGATGGCCATGCTAGGCTATGTCAGTAAGCAGACTGGCAACAAAATATGGAATTAGCCACCCTACCTCAACCAACCGATCAGACAATCTATGTTTAAAGTTCCTGCATCTCAATTGCAACCATGTAAACCTTCCCAGAGGACCTTGGAATTAGGTCCTCACTTTTTTAACTCAGTCTAGCAGCCTAAGTTGTGTCCAACCTCCCTGTTTTCTGGGGTTACCTTTTTCCTGTCCTTTGCACATTTGCTTCTGAAGGTTTTCTCCAATCAACCACACCACCCCCCTCCCCAAACAACTTGCATAATTCCTGACCCTCGCCTTCCCTCTTAGGCTACGTCATAATTGTTGTATTTACATAAAGTGTTTCTGTTTACTACATGTTTGTGTTTCCCTTATTATATTATAAACTTCTTGAGGGCAGAGGAGTGTCCTTGTTTTTAGCCAAACCAATAAATACACATTCTGTATCCTCAGGGCTTTTAAGAAATGTTTTGATTAAACAAAGGATTTGCAAAAGAGGACACTGAATAAGTTTTGTACCCCAACAGCAGGACAGAGTTGGAAGATGAGATATAAAATCACGGAATAATTTCATAAGATTAAAGACTTAGAGAAGGGGATATATTTGATATTAAAAAAATTTAATCAACCATCAACAAATAAACTTTCTGAGATGTCAGATAATATCAGTGATCAAGTGAGAAAAAGCCTGTATTTCTGAAAAATAAATCATTCATTATTTCATGGCTGTCTGATTTTTATCTGCTTAAAGATAACTTTTGAAGAAATTGACTGATTTTGACTGCAAATTTATAAACATTTATTAAGCACCTACTATGCAACAGGTACTGTGCTAAGCACACAGAGATTCAAGATCCTCATTATTTCAATGTGTGGTTTAATCCACTACCTTGATACAAAAGGGAAGACATGGAATGCAGTAGAAAGGGTGTTGGAGTTGGAGTTAAAGGTTCTAATCCTGGCTCTGCCACTTTGCCTACGTGACCTGCACAAATCACTTCATATTTCTGAGCCTTTATATCATCATCTATAATTTAATCTAATCCCTTTGGGCTCTAAATAAGTGATCCTTTCAATAAACTCTTTGAGGGTAAGGTCTGTTTTTCATTTTTATCCTGGGTATATAGCATGGTGCCTAGTAGTATAACAGGTGTTTCATAAATGCTTCTTGGATTAGATTGGATTGGTATGGCTTCAAATGAATGTTTCCAAGTCATCGAATAACACTGCAGTCAGAGATCTTGGATTCTGATTCAATACTCTTTTTACCAGTGAGGAAATTGAAGATCATAGTGTCCTATCCTGCCTCATGTGGACCAGCTGGCTGGCTGAAGAGATGAGTTGATGCTGATGAAAAACAAGGTAAATGCAAGCCCTGGAGCTGGGCTCAATGGAGGCAAATATCTGCCCAGAGAACGGTAGAGGCAGCCCTACTTCCATCTGTGCTGTTAAGGAAAGCAAAGGTGATCAATTAAGGTTGAGTTCTGAATAAGGCCTAATAGGATTCTTCTTCAGGGGGAAAAAAAAATATCAAGACAAATGCACTCAGGAGCAAATCTGCAAATGAAAGTTCATCATGCAGGTAAAATTAAGTTCCAAAAAAAGCTAATCAATTGGGACCAGAATAAAAGAGATAAGATCTGAGGTGACAGAGCTGCCAGGCCTACTCATATGACTAGCTCCTTATCTGGTTAGCAACCACAGCTTTGTATTAAGGGTGGGTCACTGTCTCTGTCTCTGTCTCTGTCTGTCTCTCTGTCTCTGTCTCTGTTCCTCTCTCTCTCTGTCTCTCTTTCTCACACACACACACACATACACACACACACACACAGACATACACACACCTTCTCTTAATGATTAACATGCTGCAGCAGTGGATTGAGGTAGCTCTGACACCATCTATTCCCTTTGGGTTCCTCTTAATTCTCTGAGATTTTGATTTGACAGTAGACTGCCTCTTTAAACTCCAAAACTTATAAATTACAGACAGATCCTCAGGTCCACAACATTTGTAGTCTAAAAAATATTTCAAAGGACCATGATGCCTCAAAGAGTCCAATTCTATCATTCTGACAAATTTCCAGTGAGCATTGATCATCACTGAGGAAGCACATAGATGTAATGGATATAGATTGGCCTAGGTATGCAGACCAGAGCAGGGACTTATGGGAAATGAGATGGAACAGGAGAGAGGCTGGTGGCTTTCATCAGTTGGGCACAGGGCCAATTAGCTTCTCTACCAGGAATGGGCTGATTGCCTGATCAACCAGTTTCCCCAAGGAGAAATCTGCATAGAGGTTTCATACAGCAAAGCTACTAAACTCCTCTAAGCTAGTTTCCTCATCTGTAAAATGGCGCTGGGGGAGGTTGAACTAGATCAATTGAACAACCAAGTATTTTTTTTCCTTTTTTTAGTGAGGCAATTGGGGTTAAGTGACTTACCCAGAGTCACACAGCTAGTAAGTGTTATGTGTCTCAGGCCGGATTTGAACTCAGGTCCTCCTAACTCCAGGGTTGGTGCTCTAACCACTGTGCCACCTAGCCACCCCTAACAAGCATTTATTAAGCATACACCATGTAGCAGGGCAGCTAAGTGGCTCAGCAGATAGAGCACTGGCCCTGGAGTAAGGAAGACCTGAGTTCAAATCCAGCTTCAAGACACTTACTAGCTGTGTGACTCTGGGCAAGTCACTTAACTTCTATTTGTCTTAATCCACTGGAGAAAGAAAAAAATGGCAAACCATTCCAATATCTTTGCCAAGAAAACTCCATGGATAACCTTGCCATGCTATGGTCTACAGGATCACAAAGAGTTGGACTAAAGAACTGTACAACAACAAATCCCTTTATTTAGGACAGCTAGATGGCACAGTGGATAGAGCACAGGGCCTGGAGTTAGGAAGTTCAAATCTGGCCTCAGCATCTTACTAGTTGTGTGACCCTGGGCAAATCACCTAACCCTGTTTGCCTCAGTTTCCTTATTTATAAAATAAGCTGGAGAAGGAAATGGCAAACCACTCCAGTATCTCTGCCAAGAAAACTCCATATGGGGTCAAGAAGAGTCAGACACGACTGAAACAACTGAACATGTATTAGATACTTTGCTAGACAATGGGGATATAAAAATGAAAATTAAACTGTCCCTGCCTCAGGCAGCTTATATTCTATTTGAGGAAACTGATAACTAAAGTTTCTTCTTTCTTTAAGTCCTATAAACAAGGATAAGTTCTTAATTTGCAAGGCTTCCCTAGGCAACCAATGTTGATCTGTCCACCATTTTCAAAAAGATCTGACCATCCCACCATGTGAAGATAGCTAGATGGCACAGTCAATATGGCACTGGACTTGGAGTCAGGAAGACCTAAGTTTGAATCCTACCTCAGACACTTATTAGTTACATGACCCTAGGCAAGTTATTTAACCTCTCAGCCTCAATTTTCTCTCTGTAAAATGAGGATAATAATAGTACCTACCTCTCAAGGTTGTTGTGAGGATCAAATAAAATAATATTTGTGAAATTTAAAACATTGTATAAATGTTATTATATGAAAATGGTTTGTAAGTCAGAGTAGGCAGTCTCCTCTAGAAGATTATAGTGGAAGAAGGAGAAAGAACAAACTTTAAGTAAAACATCGTTCACATGAAATGATGTTGCAAGTAGATGAGCAGGGTTACTTGTAATAAAATTCTGGGTAATTGTGGGTAAGAAGTGTAGTCAGTTATCCTGGTGATGGATGATAAAACATCTTAGATTCTTCTCCAGGGTACCTAAGTAAGTATATTTGGGTCCCTCTCAATTCTCTGAGATTTTGATTTGACAGTAGATTGCCTCTTTAAACTCCAAAACTTATAAGTTACAGACAGATCCTCAGGTTCACAATATTTGTGGTTTAAAAAATATTTCAAAGGACCATGGTGCCTTCAAGAGTCCAATTCTATCATTCTGACAAATTTCCAGTGAGCATTGATCATCACTGAGGAAGCATGTAGATATAATGGATATAGATTGGCCTAGGTATGCAGACCAGAGCAGGGACTCACAGGAAATGAGATGGAACAGGAGAGAGGCTGATGGCTTTCATCAGTTTGGCACAGGGCCAATTAGATTGCCCAAAAGATTCAGGGTGGTGTACAGAGAACAAAAAATGAATATGGGTTG